ACACACACACACACACACACACACACACACACACACACACACACAGGATATGCTTCATAGATCTCTATAGAACAAATGTCACGGCCTTTGGTCCCCACAAGTCTATGAAACTGTCTCTCTTCTTCTACTACTGTACGTGTGTGTGTGTCTGTGTGTTTATTGATTCTAATTTAAAATGGCTGCCCATTTCATGTCGCTCTCACACACACAGTGTGAATGTGCAACACTTTCATATTAAATGAACAACTGCTCTGCGTCCTCCGAAACACATAAATAAATAAAAAAATACTCATTTCTGATTGGCTGTCGGGACCACACGGGACATCCCAAATATAGTCTGTGTCGTCCCAGCGGTCAGAGGTTTAATCATTTCTGTGAATTGGTGTCAAGCCTTTCAGTGTTGGGCTGCAAGTAACCATGGATTGATACGACTCTCCAATGTCTGCTGCTATGGCGTTAGCTTAGCTTGGCATAAAGACTGGAAACAGGGGCGGAACAGCTAGCCTGGCAGCAACAAAATCTGCCGTTCACATTGCAGTTTATGGGTTAAGCCCCGCCCCCTAGCTTCTACTCCGTCAAGCTGTCAGAGCCACGTTACCGTGGAGCCCACACTGTCACTAACTGCACTTCGCTGAAGAAATATCGCATTTTTGGAAAAAAGGAAAAAGTCGTTGCAATGTTTGAAGGATTATCAAGATGTCAAAGGGATTCAGCAGTAAAAAAACAAGTTAAAAAGGCAACGATAGAAGTAGCATGGGTTAGCATAGCGTAGCATAGAATCGCTAACACTATGATGTGCTAACGTAGTCTGCTCACTCTCAATCAATGCTCTAGTACTAGTACCTTAGATAGTACTTTATCGTGTACATTGTAGTTCTTACTTAACATCTGGATATGAAAAGTCTTAGTTTTGGGTCATTGGCTCTTTTAAATGTCCAGTTTCTGGAACATTTGTCCCTTTATTAGAGAAGTTCAATGTTTTACTTACATGCTCCAATTTATATGCACATACTTATTGGTACAACTGGCTGTTTGACGAGGTTTTCATGTTATTTCACTGCCGTATATTTAACTAATTTCCAGATTGCTAATAACAGTTTATCATTTTACTTGCATCAGTCAATAGTCAGTAACTAAAGAGCTTATATTCTCTATGGTGATGTATTTGTTCTGTATTTAATCTAGTGGAAGAAAACAAACCAGTCTTTTTTTTGCCTTTCTCGCAAAAAGTCCCACTCATGATCTCCGTGGGGGATTTCAGACACCACATCAAAGAGATGTTAACTTCACTGTCGACAAAATGATGTGAGACTTCCTCTTTAGAGGAACACCCACCACCAGGAGGAAGAGCTGCTCCAGAGGCACAGACTGAAACATATATTTTAGCAACTATCAAAAGGATTGCCAAGAAATCTTGTGCAAACATTCATGTCGCCCTCGTGATGAGTTGTAGTAACTGGTCCTCGAGCGCTACCAGCAGGTCAACTATTCAATTACATTCAGCCCCAGCTGTAGAGCTGTAGCTCGTTTACGCTACACAACAAAGACAACATGTCGCTCGCTAACCGATCAGTACTGAGCATGTGCAGGATTGTTCACTCGTTAGCTATGGAGCTTGTGGCCGGTTCTGCCGAGTGAAGCTGATGCAAAAGCGTCTTAAAGCTGCATTCTCTCTACTGACCACCGGGGGGCGACTCCTCTGGTTGTATAGAAGTCTATGAGAAAAT